TTTTTTTTTATTTTTCTTTTCTTTTTTAATCTAATCGGTAGTGGTTAGTTGAGCCACCTACATATTTTTTTTTTGTTTGTTCCTTTTCTTGGTTTCGCAACAAGGCAGGTTTTGCTTGGCCTAGTTCTCCGGCCGGCCTATTTGGCCGGTCGGTTAGCTTCTTCCGAACAAGATGGCGTAATCTCCCAATATTGACCAATTTCCACCAGCGGTTCTAAAGAATATGAAGCTTTTATTTTATTTATTTATTTTATTTTGAGTGTATTGTGAGGTTTTTATTTTGTTGTAATATTCTCCTCATCCCTCTCTAATTTGGTTTGTAATTATTCTTTAAATGTTGTAATAATTCCCCGCCCCTCTTCTTTCTATCCCGTTCTTTTACTTGCTTTCTTTATTTGTACATAAACATCATATTTATTTTTCATCATAGTTATGCTTTGCATCCATGTTTCATGCATCTTGATTCGGCTAAGTTTGCATTTGTGGATTTAATCAATTCCTATGTGATTATGTGCGCTACCTCATGTTCTTGAGATGATTCACATATCATATTTTAGAAGCCGAATCTTTAGTTGCATCTCATGAGTGAATTGCATTAGGGTTTTGTATATAAGATCATGCATATTTTACTAACTTTGTTTTGCAGCTTGTTCGTGGGACGTCAAACATGTGAGTTTTTATGCTTTAGCATCCCGTGTGTGTGGGTTTTTCTTACTATGTCTAGCATTCTACCATGAGGCTAGTTGCTTATGTGATATAACTCTATGAATGCCAGTGGATGGAGGTTGTGTCGCTTAATTTGGAATGATGTTGATTTTTCATGCTTGTAAACTCAATTCATTTGGGTTGTACATCGTCAAAACTCTTTCAAAATGAATGGCATAGTCTATACTTGTATGCTTCACATAGTAAATTTTAGGATTTATTAACTAATCAGAACATGAACATATAAATAAAATAAAATTCATATCATGGTTAGTAAAGGCCGATCTTTGATCGGGTGGGCGGAGGTGCATTATTGACCTTCCCCTCTCATACCTAAGGTTCCGAGCCAAGCATCCTTGGTTACGACGAACAGTGGCCTTGGCACGAATTATGGGTTTCCTAATTTTCCCAAAATAAATATTAGGTGGCGACTCTGAGATCTGATGGTGCAGTCCATTTTTGACAAAATTGCAATAAAATGAATTTTCAATAAAAGTTGCCAAATCTGGACTCTCATCTATGTTTCACATTGCACTTGTGAGAATAGATCAAAGAGATCTCGGGGGTCCGAACTGTTTAACGCGCGCGGGTACCCCCCGGGCATGTTACACTCTTATAATTTTCTTCTCTTTTTCCTCTCAAAACTGAGAGTCTCTCTTTCTTTCTCTCAAAAACTCACTTTTTCCACTTCAATCCTTAGATCTACACTCTTAGAGGTGTCTTCTCATCTTGATCCTTTGAGATAACTTGAAGATCTTGTCAAGAGCTTTCTATTGGTCTGAGAAGTTCGTGGCTTCGTCAACCTTGAGTTTTTCGTGTTTTCTTCATAATGACTTGAGGTAGGGACACTTTTACCGTAGTACTTCTTTGTTCTGAAGGGATTTCATGGTATGGTTGTGATTTGTGAGTTAATTGGAGAGTATTGTTGGATCAATCTCATGTTTTACATAAATAAACCATTTTACTTGACTCTTGCTTGAGATTTCTTTACTCCTTCTTTTCAAAACATGTATATAAATGTTATTACAAGCCATATCTATAATAGAGGAGAAAAACCTCCAAATTTGGTAAAAACCCTAGATTCTCCATTTGAGTTAAAAATACCACATTGAATGGGGAATTTCCTTGATTCATGAAATATTGTGAATAATAAATAGATGAAGGATGTGGATGTTGATATAGTAAAAGTATTGTGGCTTGGATGTTATTTGTTTTTCTTAAATCTTGTGTTGTATTCAACTCTTGGGTAATGTTGGATGGTTGTTGATGGAATAAAATATGAATGAATTGTTAATTGTGTATGAGTCCGGGTAAGAGTTGGTTTTCCAAATGTAATGTTGTGTTGGTACCCACGCGGGGAGTTTAAAAAGGTGCCCAAATGCCCTGTCTAGGCTTATCGCTGGACAAATGTGGGAAAAATATTTTTGGGTGTCCACACAGTCCTGCCGTATGATAGTCGGCAAAAGTGGAAAAACGGATGGTTTTCTTTGGGGTGCCCACTCCCTGCCGTATAATAGCCGGCAAATGGGGGGTGGTTTTAAAAACAAAAGTAAAAGGTGTTTTAAATTGGACTCTTACAGGTGGACTCATGGCCTGCGTTCTATGGTTGTGAATGTTTGATTGTTGTGCTTAATGACATGAATAGTCACTGTTATTATTTGGTTGTCATGGATTTGTATGTTTGTTAAGGATTACATGTAAGGATAAATTTCCACGTAATGTTTGGTCGTAAAGATACCATAATCTTATTCAAAGGATTAAATACTTGGTTAAATGTGTTCCTACCGGGCATATAGCTCAACCCTATCTTATTTTTTTCAGGAAATGATGGAGTTCCACCTCCCTGAAGGATTGGTCAAGCAATAGCTCCTTTTTGGAAAAGTTGATCCATGTGTATTTTGTTATTTTGAATTGGAATTTTTGTAACAAGAACTATTACTTTATTTTGTCGTAATTGTACGCCCTAGAGGCTTGTATTTTGTAAGGCCACCTAGTTCATTGAACTGGAATATGAATTCTGAGCAGTATGGGAATTTATATGGTGAATTGTAACCTCTTATCTCTTAGTTCAATGAGAAGGTGGACTTTTTGGGTATTTTATTGTATTTGTTTTGGTATGTTCTTGTGGGAAAATTTCAGGGTGCTACAAAAGAAGTATTCCTGCCGTACAAATAGCCATCCAAGAGGATGTCTAATGAGGTAACTCTACTAGTTAAAGATGAGTTGGAGCGTTTTCTTAAAGTTAGATTTATCAAAATTGCTAGATATATAGCATGGTTATCAAACATAGTGCCTGTCGTGTAATGCCCTGGGTATGGAGCTAACCCATTTTAATTCTTTCAGGTTGGGACACAAAGTTATCCAAGATGTTTTGATCTTGTCGAGGTGGTTTGGACCCTTGTAGGGCTTCAGGTCTGTTGGATGGTAGGTGAGTGCGTTGCCCGCAAGTGGCTGTGATGTTGGGCAGTGAGTAGAGGAGTCACGCCCGTGGTCAGGGCGGTCGCACCCACGACCAGAATTATTCGGCGGTCACGCCCTCAGTGGAGGAGGTTGCAGCCTCGACATGTTGGGGTGGCAAGTTCGCACCCGTGATAATTTAGACCTCGGCTGCGATGAGTCGTGTATATAAGTCATCTATATGCTAAAAAAGTCATTTTTTTGTCCTCTTCTCTCTCTCTCTCTCTCTCTTTTCTCTCTCCTTCTGCCATTTTTGGGTTTCTTTGACTTAAAAGCTTGGGTTTCATCAAGCTACACCCAATTTCTACCCTTAGTCCTTCATACCAAAACGTAGAGGGTTGTGAGGGCTTCAATTTAATTGAGCGAATCGTGTTTTCGTCACCGGTGGTTTTTTTGGCTTTTCTTCTCTTCACTTCAAAAGGTAAGAATTCCTTTGCTCCTCATCAATACATTCTCATAGATGGATATGTGGTATTTTTTTTTATTGCATAAAAATTATGATTTTGCCATGTGATTTCAAAATCATGAAAAAAGGGTTTTGGAGTTTGAGATTTGGGTAAGTGACATAAGTTTTAAAAAGGGATTTTGATCTATTAGGGAGTAATTTATTTTGTGTATGTTGTGAATGAGGAAAACCCTAATTTTCAGGCTTAATGAATTAAAAAGGAGAAAAGTTGGTCAATTGCTATATGATGTGCGTAAATAGAGTTATTTTTTGTGTTAGTTGCTATAATGATAATAACCGGGTGTCAAGTTTTTCTTCTTGTTATTGTGGAGTTGGGTTGTGGTTTATACCTTTAATAAGGTTTCGCTATATTAACAAAAAACTACCAAACGGGGCCAATGTCATGCCCAAATTTTGATTACTCGGAAACATTACCAAAACTTGTAATTTAGGTCCCTTTTTTTTTTTTTTAATTAAAAAATATCCATTACCCTTGAGTAATAGAAACATAATAATACTTGTTTTCTCTCTCAATGAATACAATAATAACAATAATTAATGCCAAGCTTCTGCTGCGAAGCTACAAATAAATAATTGCAAACAACAAGATACATTATTCACTCCTTTCACATCTATGATGAAATTATATATAAAAGATACATAGACTCCATAACTCTTTGACTAATCAACCCAAATTTCTCTTCCTGAAAAAGAAAAAAACAACGAGGGGTGAGCACTAATGCCCAATAGGAATCTCATAGTTTTACAACAATAGGTAACACATAGATAGAAATGATCATACATGCAGGGTAATACCATATAGTAAGGTGACATTTTATAAGTTCCAAAATATTATACGAAGAGTATCTTTTTCTTAAAATTTCATTTGAACCTTTAAGAAAACTCCCTGTCATATATGTAGTCTCTCATCATTAGCAAGTCATAAATTCTCTTTGAAAACAAGTACACTTAAGAAAGAACATCGTCTTAATTTTATTAATCCGATTCCAAATTATTCCTCATTTCATTTCCATTTTTCCCTTATACTATTTCAATTACTATACTCTATAACATCAAAATCCAAAGGATTAGAGTTCAAACATAACACAAGAATAGCAAACCCTTTTTAATTCAATTTCTCAATTATTTACAAAATAAAACTCATAATTTTTCCTTGTAGTCACAAGCAATCCATTGAGTTCATCATCACCAATCCCTAATCCAATTACCATTTTATTTTCCATTCTCTTCAAATAATTTCTATTTTCATTTTCCTTTCATACCAAATTTCACATCAAATTGTAATTTCACGAGTTCATCACATGTCACACATATTATTACTGACTTAACATGTTCCTTAACACATTCCACCTTTAGCCGACTTGATATGGCGGGATAGCAGGCACCCAAACTCATAACACCTTCCACCTTTAGCAGACTTGATACGGCGAGAAGTGGACTCCCAAAATCACTTTTTAGTTTGAAAACATCCCCACATTTGCTAACTCCAAAAACGGTGAGGCGGTGGGCACCCAAAACATCACAACCTTCCACATTTGCCGACTCCATAAATGGCGGGGGCGTGGACACCCAAAACCATCCGTTTTCCACATTTGCCAGCTTCGGAAACGGAGGACTCGTGGACACCCAAAAGCATATTCCCACATTTGTCCGGCGGTAGGCGCAGACAGGGCAATTGGGCACCTTGACTCCCCACTCAGGTACCAAATTTAACTCACCCAACATAACTCAACACAACTCGACCCAACATAACTCAACATGATTCAACATATTTCAACATAGTTCAACACAATTCAACATAATCCAACACAACTCAACATAATTCAACACATTTCAACATTACAATTAGTGGGAAATGCCAACACATCTTCCATTATTTCCATAACACATTAGTTCAATACACATCCACCATATATTAAAATTCCATTTACATAACAAGTACAAATATGTTTCACGACCTTCTTCATTATCCATCAATTTATTCATCGTTTTGTTACAAAAATATAACAACACATCCATAGAGGTATAAAGATTCATCTTTAAAGTGTTCACAATTCTTGGGTTCAAACTATTTCTTTACTTTTCCATATTATTGTCAAGTCTTCAAATTCAATTTTTTTTTTTTGCAACACATTGATTACCAATTACTACCCAAGGTTATACTTTTAAATCTCCCACATTTGATTTCCTTGATTCAACTCCTTCATATAATACCGTCATATTTCATAATCTCCCATTTATCATTATTCACACTCATCTTAACCCAACTTAGACTCAATATCATAAATTTAATGTTAATTGAAGTATTCTTCATTTTTCCAAAAATAAACTTCATAACTAGAGTTGAACATAAATTCGGGCTTTTAGTTTTGAGGTATAAAATTACTGTCTAACTATGCAATAAAATTCTTAAATCTTTACTTCATCATCTTATCACAAACTCCGTATCATCCATACCATTAACAAATTTATTTACCCAAATTTAGTTTCATGTTACAACATAATTTAAAAGATCAACAATAAGAGTTCAATTGCAACTTTCACATAAATTTCCAACCACTTCCAAAATGCAATTAAACTTGTATATGTGTAATTCAATACCTCAATTTCATGATTCTACTATCATTTTAGGCAAAACCATCAATTGTCTTCATGTACCAAGCTAGGATTTTAAGATAAATTAAGCTTTTCGCCCAAACACTTTTTATTTCAACTCTTCTATTAATTATACACCCAATTTCATAAGCCCATAATAATAACCCAACAATTAAACCCCAATATTTCAAACCCTAAACCTCCAATCTCATGATTTACCACAATAGGCTTAAAAATATAAATTTTGTGTTTATATAAAAAAAATACCACAAATCTATCTATAAATGAGAGTATTGAAGGAGAACTAGAAACCCCTACCTCAAGGATCAGGCAAGAAAGCAAGGCTCCAAGAAGAATCCTTCGCAAATCTAAAATCCAATTGGTTGAAAATGTTGAGCTTCAAGTATTCTTCACTTTTTGGTAAGAGATCTTGGCCAAATCTTTGAGAAATGGAAGCTATTTGGGTCAAGATATCAAGGGTTTTTGGACCTAGGATGAGGGGAAAGAAGAGGGAAAAGGAAAGTGGGAAGAATGATCTAGAAAATCACTTTTACATTGTTGAATTCGTGCAGTCCGCTTGAGCGCCACTTTCTGCGCTCGAGCATATACTTGCTTCCAGCACAAATACCAAAACTTCAAACGGGCATAACTCTCTCATCCGGACTCTGTTTTAGGTCGTTCTTGTGTCCAAATCGAAGCCCCGGAAACATGATTTCCAATGGTTCTAGCCTCACACCTAAATTCAAAGTATGGAAAGAGAAAATAGAAAAAGAGTGATGGTTGTTCGTAGAAAAATTATCCGAATTAAAGTTTTTGGTCCAATCTTACTTTACCATCATGTTACCACTTCAATCAATATCCAAAAATAAAACAAGGGGGCTCCAAACACAATAATAAAAATGTCAAGAGCAATCTCACTAGTCCCAGAAATTCAGACTCAACTAGGAAGACCGCTCGAGCGTCCAATCTTACACTCGAGCGAACAGACCAACAAAGCTGACCCGCTCGAGTGACCACTTCTACGCTCGAGCAGAAATTCACAACTCATAGAATCTTGGACAGACTGCAAAAGTACTGGGAGCCTCACAAGTCTGCTCGAGCATCAACTCTTACGCTCGAGCGGGGAGAAAAATTCTGGAGTGTCACAAAAAAATAGGAGGAATTTTGGCTAATGATTGGATGAGTTGAGGATTTGAAATGGTGGATATAGAATTTGAAGGAATAGACGTAAGCCCCAATACTTATAAAACCATAAGTAATGCTCATAGGAACTTATTGATGAATTGAGACTATGTGAGAAAAATGTTATGTTCTGATAGAATTATAGTTGTTCCAATGTTATGTTGTGTGATATTGAATTACCCTCATGGGTAAATTTGAGGTGCCCACTTGCCCAATTGTGTGAGGACGATAAATGTGGGAATGCATGAGGTGTCCACTAGCCCGATCATGTGAGGACGATAAATGTGGAAAGTTCGAGGTGTGTAGACACCCTAGTTTTGACCGCTCGTAAGACTTAGGCGCTTTATTCTGGGCACTTGATGATGAAGGTTACATTGTGTAATTGGTTTGAATTCTTAACAAAGAAATCCGATTTCAAGCCCTAAACAATCTCAACCTGCCATACCCACTGTATTTCTGCCCTAGAAACTTAGTTTTGAACATTGTACCAACCTGCATTGAACCTGAAAGTGAGAAATAGTGGAACTACACTGAGGCCCGGCCGTGCCTCAGTGAAAGCCGGCCGTGCCTTTTGACTATTCTGGACAGATTGAGCAGCAATTTACCAGCTATCTAATGCTGAGGATATTTGTGTTTTGCAGCTCGAATTCTATAAATAGGAGGCTTATACCTGTGTTTTAGAGGTTAGGAAATATCAAAGGGTTAGAAAAATATCAAAGAGGTTAGAAAAATATCAAAGAGTTAAGAGATATTTGAACTTCTTCTTTGGTAATTCATCTTTATACTTTCATAACCTTTGAGCTCTCATATCATCCATACATACCATATCCACTATAAGAGCTTGGACTTGGAGCTTTGATTGAGATTTGGAAACCATAACTCAAACTTGAGAGTGCTTTGGAATCAAGTTTGGTTTACAACAAGAACACCTTCTCTACAAGAGGTATAAGCTTACTAACTTCTCCTTTGCTTTCATTTCAATCTTTGTCCATCTTTTGCTTGTGTTTTCATACTGTTCTTGGACTGTTTTGGGGCTGAAACATGTGATTTAAAATTGCAAAAGAGTGGAGCCGTTAGCCACCCCTTTTTATGCTTTGTTCTATAGCTTTTTCTCTACTTTTTTTACTTACTTTCTCTTGATTTTAGCCACTGTTTTTAGCATATTAGGGGCTGTTTTAGGGCTGTCCTAATTTATTTAATTAGTGTATGCTTTG